TTCAAGCCCTGGAACAAAATGTAATAGGCCTAAAATAAAAATAACAATTTGTTTTAATAAAAAAAAAAGAAAAGCGAAATATATCTGACTTAAATAATTAAGCTAACAGATTTAGTGGCACGGCGCTCCATAAACAGGAAAGGAAAGGATGACAATGCGCATTCTGTTTGTTTGCTTTATTTTGCAAAAGCACAAATCTTGTTTTTATTGTGAGTGTGCAAAAATAAAAGTAAACACTTTTGCGGATTATATCTTACTCCAAAAATGAAGTTTTTTATGTTTCAGCTGTTCGATCGCACCGGCGCCTCGCGCGCACACACCCCACATATTCTAGCAATTCAAACTTACATCGCAGTCTGTTCAATTGGTAACTTACAATATTGTTATTAAATTCACATTAAATACAAAGTCAGTCAATTAAAAATATTTTACGGCATGCCGCATGACACCCATATCTGGTACTTAAGACGGGTTTTTATAGTTAATAGATTACATTATTAGTCTACTTTGCCCATCACCCATTATAGATCAAATAACATAATATATAAAGGTGCAAAACGCATTTATTTACACATATTTGAGAATCTAGATATTTCCTGATTGGAAATATTCAAACGATTCATTCAAAGATTCATCTTTCCAAACCCCTCCTTTGGATAATGTTACTCTGCTCTGATTGGTCTGCTGACCCAGTCAGATGTGATTGGTCTACTGTGTACAGCGCATGTCGGAAAAGGAATGCCCATCACCAGTACTGGAATACGGTTTATCAATAATACATTCTATTATAATAATAATAGTGCTCCACTCTGTTCTAAATAGAAAGAATCACTGGGGGAAAAGTTCAGTTTACAAATCCCGCATAGAACTCGCGGAGATTGGAGAAGCAGTCATCAGTGAAATGACGGGAACACAGCAAAAGCTTGTAATTTAACTGCTGTGGTATCTTAGTAAAGATGAATTTTAACCACTGATTCTTCACAGCCTCATCCTTTGGATCATCAAACTGAATTCACTTTCACAGCGCAGAGCACAGTGTCTTCTTGACATTATGTTATCCACACGAACGAGCTACAACGTTTAAAGTTTGTTTTCACGGGATGTCCACGCAGAACATCGGCGGGAATTATGCAAACGTAAGAATTTGTGAAATTCACGGAATGGGATTCAAATTTAAAACAGCGGTTCAGAGTCAACTCTGTCTTTTGAGAGACAATATCTTTATTTATGATGCACTTTCAGCTTACAACTTTGCAGACTGTTTACATTCACATACAGCTGCATTACACGCTGCATGAAATGTAATTTTCCAAAAATCCATAATAGGGGCACATTAAGAAGTTTTTCATGAATCTGGCCTGATTCTAAACAGCCGACAGAAAAACATGACTTGATCGCTTAAATACTGTCAAAAATGTAATACCATAAAGTTTGTCAGCTCTGCCCCATAACTAATCAATAAAATAGCTTCACTGCAGAAAAGCTACATGATTTAAAAACTAGCTTCAGCATTTGGAGTGACGCCCAAAACTGATTATAAATATAGCAAGACATCCCTCCAGCATTTCATGAATGCGGTGAAAACCAACAGAAAACAGCTCCATAAATAATCACCCACAAGTCACACGTAACACTCAGTAGAAAAGACTGTAAACACATGACTCAGAAGCACACAGACAGAGCATAATTCAGGCTGACTTGACTGCCTAAATTCCTTAATCTACATCAACAGCTGTAAGCCTGTGTAAGCATGCTTTCTGTTCCTTGTATAATGTATACAATATGGAAGTGCATTCTGTGCAGGCAAATAAACAATTCTGCTGCTCTACCAGTGTAACGATAACATGCATGTGCCTGAAATACATGGAAACACGTAGCAAATGGCTAAGAAACCTCACTGCAATTCAGCTCACTGCAATTTGATTTTCTGTGGTATGATGCCAGAAAGACATTGTCACATTACAAATTGAATGTACTGCTTATAGTGATTGCTGCTTTATTTACAGAAAGCTGAAAGGGTGTAAAACAACATAAACCTATTTCTGGATCCCATTTTGAGTCTAAAGTTTTTTTAAAGCATTCTCCCAGTATAATCAGCTGCATTTACTCTAGGGTTTTGTCTGATTGTTCATATAGCCCTGATCTCACATTTGCTCTCTATTTCAGAGCACTTTTTCCAAAACGTAACTTATTTAAAGGAGTTATTTTCTCCTGGCAAGGGTCCATGAGTTCAATCACTCACAGATCTTTTCATGGGCACTGAAGTCTGTGAGAGACAGATTGAAAACTGCAGAGGGCTTTTGTTCTCAGCGGGGAGCGAGTTAAATGCCACTTCGCTGTCTTACAGAAGCTGCACACCTCTGCCTTAGATGGGCGGTTCTGATTGCTCTTCAACAGCAACCTTCCACATTCCTTAAACAAAACACTTGCAACCTTGTCACACTCATGCACTACTCTTACTCTCACCAATCACACTTATACGCTTGACTCAACCCTCACCAGTCTGACTAATTCCTCTACTGCACCCCAACACACTTGCACAGTTAATTGAGGGTTTTTCAAACGGAGGACCTCCAGATAAATAAATAAACGTATAATTTACCAAAGCTACCATAGTTTTGCTTCTGCTATGGCTTTCTAAAGAGTGGTTGGAAATCATGAGATCATGCGAGTTAATTGTATTCTATTTCATTAATAGGAAAAAATGATATAGTTGTGAAAACATGTTCTGCTGTAGGTTGTATTTTAGCTTGATCACTTAGAATGTTGACAAAACTGCTTTGGAACTAAATTTGTTTTGTAAAAGCGCAACTCAAATACATTTGAAATGCAGGGGTTGGACAGAATAATGTGAACAACTGCAAAATAGGCAATGCTTCTTTATTAAGGTGTTCTACCGGCATGTGCCTTTAATACAGCTTCCAACCTTCTTATAATAGATTCATACAACTTCTAAATAGTCTCCAGTGTCCAGTGTCATCTATCAGAACATCTGCCAGTTGTTGAAGAAGGGAATCTGCTTCTCACTCCTCTCTCCAAAACTGCCCACAGTGGTTTCATAATATTCAAGTCAGGTGAATTAAGTTAATTTTGGTGCTCCAACTGTCCATGATCATGACACCATCTTTTCCACATTTCAGCATTGCTGTCTGTGATCTATAATAGATCTATAATAGATGTTGGCTTGGTGAAGCTCTCTGTGGTTGGTTTTTGTGGAAACAGGGACTTCAAGGTGAATATCGAGGTTGGCTATCACTTTGCAGCAGCAGTTCTGTTGTTTGGACAGAATTATTTTCCTTCTAGAATCCTTCCCGGTTCCTATTATTCACTTTGGGTTTTCACCCACTAATCTTTTTTGCTAATGAAGTCTTGCCAAGCTTTGTGTACAGATGCTCCTGCTAAATGGGCTTTCATGATTTGCCCTTTTTGGAAGTCTGGCAAGTCACCCATTTCACCCACAGCATGTGCTAAACACTGCTGAACACAACACAACCTAGATACAACCTTATAAACCTAGAGAATATAGACAATAAAGAGATAAACAATCACAACATTATTATTGTTATTATTATTTTTAACTATACTATAGCCTACAGAAATGTTATTAATCCCTATAACAAAGGGTGTTCACATTATTTTGTCCAACCTCTGTATATCTAACAGTACACTGCAGTATCTTTGATATATTTTTTTCTTTTTTTGGTTTTGGTACAATGACAATGTAAAACCCGTTTAATTTTGCTAACAATATCTGGCCTTACTCACACAGTATAAATGGGTCTGTATGGGTCGAAAATATTGCCAGAAGCTTTTATACTTTAAGAAGGCAGCCCCACGCGAGGGAATCAACATAATTGGTTAACCTGATTAGTGGGTTTAGACCAAAAAATGTTTGGCCAAGTGTTTTTCCAAGTGAGGACAATCTCAAAAATTACAAAGTTAGTTTCTGACAGCTTTCAATGTTAGTGTGGGCATAAAACAAATAAAGTAAATAAATAATGTCCCCACAAATGTACCAAAAACCTGTACACGTCTCATAATATAGTTTTCACCACGTTTTTTTTCTAATATAGTGGTGATTTTCCATGCCTTCTATTGCTTATTCTATTGTACACTTGGCTAATAATATTTTCTGCCCTCGTATACACACTTCTCATGTTTATATTTTCATTTAGACATTGTAGCGATATTCCTAGTATGCACAGTTTGCTAGTCTCCCCAATGTAGGTGATTTCAGGTTTAACTATTCTCGGGAGGACGCTGACAACACCTGACCCACACACACTGCATCCTTTCGTGCGAGTATCTGAGGCGGTTCGATCACGGCAGATCTTCACAGGCATCACCAGCATTTTTTTTCTTTAGTACTCCTCCCATCTCTCACGCTTGCTTCCAAACAGATGAAATGAAATGGTAAATGAGAGCGAGCAACTCATCGCGTGACTTTTCAAGAAGCGTCTTTGTGCTCGTGCATGCCTTAGTGTGTATATGTGAGAGAGCGCGCGAGAGAGATCACGGATGAAAGACGAGGGTGTATCACAGTCTGTTTTATGGTGGCAAAAGAGTAGTTTTATTTCTTTTTCTTTTGACGTGATAATTTCTGTATCTTTATTTAAGAACCGACTCTTGCCTCACCAGAGGGTTCACGACATTTCTATGTGAGCTTAGACCAGCTTCGATAACATATATTAATGCCAAATTTAAAGTAAGCAAAAATAAAATTATACACAGTTACAACGTCGAGTCACTTCAAAAAGCCACAATAGGGAAGTTATCTGTTATACAAAACTCATAACATAATACATAAGAGACACTATGAATGCTACTTCATTAATACTTAATAAATAAAGATACTGCGATTTTTGTATATATTGGCAGCTTACAAACTGCATTTTAAACGCGAGCAGCCTGACAGGATTTGTGTATGTGTTTAGATTAGGTTTAATACAACGACATATTGTTGAACAGTTGTATTTCACAGAATAAATACATAAACTTACAGTTACTCGCCGATGAAACTGAAGTTAACGCGCTTAACGCCGTGAGGAGGAACATTCCGATGCTGTTGTGGAACCTCATGTTTGGAAAAGTACTCCGCTCCGCACTTCTGGGGCACCTCCGACCGTTAAACCCGTTAAATCTCGTGAAGGTAGCGCTCTGACTCCCACCACTATGAGCTGCAGCCAAGAATGAGCGCGAGCCTCCCGCTATTTCCTCAGATCCATGTGAAGGACTGATCCATCACTTGCGCTTTCTCTCTCTCTCTCTCGCTCTCTCTCTCTCTCTGGGTTAGTGCTGATCTCAGTCATTCGCTCTTTGCATACTGTAAGCTTGAGGATACAAGTGGCTCTCGATTTCAGGACCACGGAGAGCTCCACATTTTTTTCCCTTGTTATACATTTTTAAACCAAGGTGCCTCAATGGAATAAAAAGTAGTTAAAATGTACTGATTTTGATTTTTAATATTTAATTCTACTTTATACAGACTTTATTATTTTGTTCTAAATGTAATTTTTCACCTATGTTTATACACATTTATAGACATGATAATATGTATGATAATATATATGCCTTTTATATTTTAGGAAGGTGAACCCTCACAAAAAGTTGATCATTAGGGGCCGTGACATCAAAGTTTGAAAACCCCTGTCAAAAATAACGTGCCTAATGTGGATTTAGGTAACGTGCCTCAGGTAGATTCCTGATGAAACCCTGACCGTTACCTTCTTTCATTGAGTCTGAATACGTGGAGTTCCCACCATATAAATTGCAAATTGAAGAACTTATAAAGTACTAGGTTGTCCCAAATCGCAAAATGGATAAAAGAGTGATACCTGTGTGACATGCTGTTGTGTATCCGCTGAGAAGATTTGCACGAGGCCTTGAAAGCGGAAGTGTCGTCAGATTCCAGAAGTTGAAAATGGCAGAGAATTAGGGTGTCTGGGAAGGGATGGGTTCAGTTGTTGAATGTGATAGCAAATACTATAGAATTAAAGGGACTTTGGTGATGCGTCGTGGTATTTTGAAGCCACGAGAACGTTTTGTCGAGATAATGGCGACATTTTTTAAGCAAAAACATTTACATTCAGTTAGGCTATGATTAATACAACTGTGCATGCGATTTATATTATTTATGGCCTGTATTTAAGAAGAACATTCTCATTTACCGGTGAATGTTCCTTGTGTTTGCTGAGATCAGTTGTTTAACTGAAACTGGATTACATCGACGAGGATGTCAGGTAAGTCAAAGCATCTTCATAGTGGCAAAGACCGTTGGGGCAATTATTAATGTTATATTTGATTGTCTCCTGATATTTAAAGGACAATCAATCATAAACCTAAATAAACTGATTTCATGCATCTATTTGTCATCACAAGCATAAATTAAATTAAATGTATATAGTGTACA